TTCCACTGGTGAAAAAAAAAAAAAAAAAAAAAGAGTTAAAAATCAGCCCGTTCCTTCCCCCAGCGGCCAGCGCAGGCCGGCTGTTTTGGTACCTCGCTGTGCCGCAGATGCTGAGCAGCTAAAAGCTTTCTGACCCCTGGGTCCGTGGGCTTTGCTCTGGCAACAGCGAGAGGCAGGACACGGTCCTTGCTATTGATGAGCTCCTGTCAGGTAAAAGTCAGCGCTGAGACTGGTTAGGCACGAAGAAAAAGCCTAACATAGCACAAAATGCTGCAAGGCCGCTTACGTAGGATTTGAAAGCGTATTTTTTTTTTCCAAGAGAGAAACCCAGAGAAGCTGCATGAAGACGCCTTCACCAGGGCACTACATTCCCAAACAGTCCCGAAACGCTGGCGCGCAAAGCCCCACCTCCGTTTCCTGCAGCCCGTTTGGGATGCGGTCAGCAGCGCCTCTGACACCCCCGGAGTCTTCTCACCCACCCCGTTCCTTGCTGCAGCTTCAGCTGCGCTTAGAATCATAGAACCACAGAATCATTAAGGTTGGAAAAGACCAACCGAGCTTGGTTCATTCAGCACCCCCGAGGAACACATCACCCCGTGAGCGTGCGGGTTCCCGCCGGTCGCCTGCCTCTTCCCACCCCGTCCTGAGCTAATCCTGGCTCACCAACAGTCTTCAGGTCCCCAGCAGCAGCAGCCGGTGGGTTTTTGGTTGGTGTTTTTTGTTTTTCCCCCCCAATGACAAGTTCATTTGAAACGGAAGTGTCAGAGCTGCGCCAGCCGCTCACACCAAGTCCTCTGCGACCAGAACCGTATCTTGGCATCTCCTGCACCGTTTGCACTCAGTATAAAGCCCACTGAGGGGTGGGGGACAGGGCGGTCTCGCCTGTTGCCACGTACCAGCCGCTGCGGACGGCGCCTGCAGCAGCCCTTCGGGATCAGAGCTTTGTCTCGGCCCTGTGACTGCTCTGACGTTAGTTCTGTACGGGAAACGCAGCCCACGTCCACACCGACCTCGAACGCGCACCGGTACCGCAGCTGCTCCTGCTGTCCGATGCCTGGTGTTTAGCCGTCGCCCTCTGGCCCCCTGTGAAGACACCTGGGAGGCCGGCAGCCTGGTCACACCGATGCTCTGCAGAAGCCGGGGTACGCCCATCTGTTAGACGGCGGCGCTGCCGTTTGCGAAGGACAGGCGCTTCTGTCAGACAGGAAAACGCACCCGGGTGCAAACGGAAAATGGTAAAATTAGAAGGGAAAAAATCTGCATTCATCTGCAGAAAGATAATCTAGACAAACCAGATACCCATTACATAGCAAAGCCCTCCGTATGATGCAACAGGCAACTGCCTGGTGGTGTAAAGCAACATGCTGAGGACGCAGAAATTTAAACTCCGTGCGTGAAACCTGTAGAAAAAAACCAACCCCCGTAAGTCCCTTGCTGGCACTCCAGGTAGCCCTTGATTTAATACAACCCGAGGGAGCTCCTCCCGTAGCCGAGAGCTTTGAAAGATTGGCCAGCTGGTCATCTTTAGTCTTTCCCCCGTTGGGACACTGGACACAATCCGGAGTTGGTGCACAAAACAAACCGCGCGCCGCAACTGGCTTGAACCTGCCGCCGCAGCATGAAGGCGAAAGCACAGACCGCGGGCGTCACACACGCAGGGGGCTGGGGCCGTAACCATCCCCTCTCTCTCTTTTTCCAGGCTTTGTACAAGCTGTACAGCGCAGCAGCGACTCACAGACATTTGTACCACCACGCCTTCCCTGCACAGAAAGCGGAGCCCGCCGAGGGCTCGGAGAGGAAGAAGGTGTAAGCCAGGCGCGTTCCTGTGGATGTGCGAACGAGGCGCGGCCGTCTCGTCCTCGGCTCGACGCTCTCGTCCTCGTACCCATCACAAGCTCCTGCCGTGGAAGGGGGAGAGCGGAGAACAAGTCAGGCGTGTGGTGGTTCGGTGCGCTCGTTCGACAACGCGGTGTTTGACGGGAAGATGTCGGCATGTTTTCCCTTTTGTTAATATGTACATACTGGTACTGCCGCAAATACAAAGTGCTTTTAATTTGTCATAGCCAGTGTACTTCCCAGCTAATTTATGAAGCCTTATTTTCCCCTTAATTAGTTATGAAGTCACTGAAGAAATCATGATTTACGTGACGCTGCGACTAAAAATCTTCCAGACGGTAGCTTCTTCGAAAGCCAACTTGTTTTCAGACACTTGAACAAGTCATAACATGTAACCGAGTTTTTTCTTCAATTAACTAATTACATAAACGTAATTAAAAATGTATTAACTTGCTTTATCAGAAACTGTAAGGGCACTTCTGCTATGGTATGTTAATGATCCTGTAGGGAGAGCGTACTCTTCTGTTCGTAACCCATGCACAAGGTATCACTTTGTATATGTATTGGAGAAAGTGTCGCTGTATTTCTGTACATACACATTCATTGTAGCGCGTAGAAAGTGTGGTTGGCGGTTCTGTTCTTTTATCGTCAGAACTATTAAAGTTTGCTGTCGGTTCCTAAGCAGTCGGTTACACAGGAGGCAGTTACTGTCGAGGGGAGAGCTTCGCCCCTTGGGTTTTGGGGTTTGGTGTTTTTTTTAACATTCTTGGTTTCCTTTCGGCCTTCGGAATTGGTGTTTTAACGGGAAAGTTGGTGTTTCGAAAGTCCTCTGCCCAGGTGCCACCTCCGGGAAGTGCTTCCGTCACCGAGGAGGTAAAGCCAGGTTTTGCAAGTCTTAGGCAAAGTAAAGGCTCCAGCTTTTAACAGCAGAGGAAAAGCTCCCTAAGCGAAGCAAGGCCAGAGCTGAGGGGCTGCTCTTCAGAGAACCCGAGCTACTGATTTTCACCACCCCCCGTCAGACCTTTTTATCGGTTCTACGAACATTTTATGTGACCTTTAAAAGGCAAAAAACCCCAACAGTTGAGCGACCCTTCGTTCATTAAACAAATTGATTTTTATTGAATTAATAGGATTTACAAGAAATGTATTTTTCTGTCTGCAACAATGCTTATTGCACTAAAAAGAATCCATAAATAACATTTCAGGACAATCAGTGAACCAAATGAAAATATTGGAGAGGGTAACACTACGATTAAAAAATTTCCCCAAGTAAGGAAGCTTTAACGCAAGACAAAAGCTCATTAAAAAACCCAGAAATAACTGTTGTTACATCCCTGATGTCCTCCGTGGTGTGGTACAGCTGGTGGGTAGAGCTGGTGGGACAATGCTGTCGCCTTCCCACGCGACCGGGTCACGTTTTATGAACCGCAGTTTACCTAGCGTTTAAGAACCTGTGAAAAGTCTGCTTAGGGATCTTGGTCTTTAAGAAGGTACAAGTATTTCCCCTCTGATTAATTTCTGTGAAAACTAGTAGGAAATCTAAAGTAGTAATGCGTTAAAGTAAAAAAATAAGGCAACTCAGACTTCACTTTCCGGAAGCGCTTGGTTTAGACCGATGGAAGCCGCTTCTGTCTGGTTACAGCACTGGGTGCTACTGAAAAGTAACGGCGTCGGTGTTGTGTACATTAAAGCTGTGAACAGAGAGCAGACCTCCCTCGGGAGAGGGACAGGAGGTTCCGAGGGAAATACACGGAAATATTCATTTGGATTTTGACAACCTTTTGAATCCAGGACATTTCATACAGTTGCATCTACTGCCCTTTAAAAATATATAGTCAGCTTCTTAATAATACAGCCGACTGCTAGAAAAAGATACCAGAATCAAGTCTCTGGTTAAACTCCGCGCTGGTTTTCAGAATAATAAACTAGTTCTTGTAGGGAAACAGCTTAACAAACCTTTTTCGTTTTTATAAACAATACATAATACATGTAGAAAAATATTAATGAGGATAATAACAAAAGGTGCAACGTCAACAAAAATAAGCTGCCTTTTCAACAAAAGCACTTTTTCATAGTTTTAAGTGTGAAAACCTTTTAAAGCTCTTAGTGTCCTCATAAAAGTCTATTAAAAGAGTTGTTAGCTTAAAAATTCTTGCCGTGCTGCTGGGCATACCACTGCTGCCTCTGCTTGCGATGCTCCAGCTCGGTGAGGAGGGCCTGCCTGTACGCTTCGTACAGCTTAACGATCCGTTCCAGTTCTTTCATGAAGAGCAGCTTCAGCATCCCCTGGTACGTGTCCAGGTCCGCCAGCTGGAAGAGCTCCCACTTCAGGATGTGGTCGTATCTGTTTTGATGGGAAGAGATGATTATCGACACGCCACTGCAAGCGAACACGCAGCATTTTATGCGTTTTCTTAAGAACTGGCCTCACAGCTGTACAGCCACCGGTCGGATTTCCAGCAGTCTACGTTAGCATGTTTTATGTGAAGAAATAAGGTGATCAACGCCCAAAGACATGGAGCCGCGTCTCAAAGTGAGCTGGAGAAACGTCACTTGCAGCTAAACTGCAGAATCACTCGTAATACGCCAAGATAAACTCTAGAAATACTAAAGATCCTATTAACTGATTATAATAAACCAGAGGAGAAAATGCATTTTGGAAGCATTAAAACAGCAATTCCATTCAACAAGCCTTGAAGACTTAGTAGTAAAACATCTTTTAAAATTAGAGTAACACAGGAAAAAAGGAATTATTTCAACAGCTTACCCTAACGCTCCCCAGCAAGTACCTCCCAGGAGGCAGAGCGCTGCAAGGCTTCCCTCACAACACACTTTTGTTTCCGAAGCATTCTTGTTCCAGCCTTAACAAGCACTCTCGGACAACTGTTCCCCTCTTGGTTAATTAGCAGCAATAACCTAAGCCAGCGTGCCTCACGCTGCGGGCCACGAACCCCACAGGGCCACGGAAGGGGGGTATTAGATAGCACCAGTGAGGACTGAGGGAGGGGAGAAATCCAATCGGGTCATAATTAACGGCTGCAAGCACTCACACCAGCAAGGGACATCCTAACCGCCCGTCACTATCGGCAGCGATTTGTCTGCCACGGGGGGAGTGGGGTGGGTGTCAAGGGAGCGACGCAAGCACTAACAGCTAAGAATCCTACGTGTTCTTACTCCCCACACCGGAAAAACTGAGCTGCTGTGGACCTGGGGCGGTCCCCTGGAGACGTGTGCCAAGAGCCTGAAACACACTGGTGCCACCCTGAACTCCTCCTCTGGGAGTATCTGACCTAGCTCCCCGCCTGAGATGGAAACAAGCTCAGCTGCAAAGTCGACCAATTACTGTTGTATTTCCTCCCACTGCCACCAGTTACACGGAGCTGTTGGTTGAGCGAGGCGAGATATAGAAGCTCGGGTCACCAAAGCGCCATCCACACTGTCAACACTTTTTCCTTGAGGAGGGAAATGGACGCTGGTCAGCAGCGCAGAACGTGAAAGCTGGCAGAGAAAATACCAACAGGTTCAAGAAGGGGGCTACACACGGACCGGCTCTGTTAGAAGCCACGCTCCTCACGCTCCACGATGGAGAGCGGAGTACGTAAAAACAACCCGCAACGGGAAGCAGGAGCGTAACATCAATCCACGAGGTGGGAGAAACGATGTACAGGGAGAGCTGCTGAGCGTCGCTAACCCCTGCAACCCCCCCCAGGTTAGAGTCCCTGGCAAAGTACATCTCGCCTTTCATTCGGTAGGCCTTCTCCTCTCCTACTCAGCATGCAGCACTGCTTTTGTTAGAAAATCTGCAGCGCTGTCAGTGCTGGGTTTTTTTATTTTTACTTTTTAATATGGAGCAATTCTGAATTTCTGTTTATACTCCTAGCACTTTTTTCCAATTTCTGTAACATATAAACAAGAGTCCCTGGCAAAGTACATCTCGCCTTTCATTCGGTAGGCCTTCTCCTCTCCTACTCAGCATGCAGCACTGCTTTTGTTAGAAAATCTGCAGCGCTGTCAGTGCTGGGTTTTTTTATTTTTACTTTTTAATATGGAGCAATTCTGAATTTCTGTTTATACTCCTAGCACTTTTTTCCAATTTCTGAAACATATAAACATGCCCCTACGTTCAGACTTTTGGGATATCAAAGCTGCTGCCATTGGATAGGTGCGAACAACGTAAAAGGAGCCTCTTCAGGCCTCCCTTGTTTCACTAGCAGGGCTGAAGAAGTTTCCTGAAGGCTGCATTTTATGTCGTAACTGCCAAACCACTCTTGTGACTCATCAAGGCTGCGCCATTTCTCCTGCAAGGAATTTTCCACAATCAAAATTGGCACTCTAAGGTCTGCAAGGGAGCTGGAAAGCCGGTCAACTGAAGTCCAGTTTCGTAATGGAGGTCTGTTCAATCATACGTTAGTCAGCGACTTGCTTTCATTCCACAAATTCTTCAAAGCTAGCGCTGACCATACCAGAGTTCCACAAATTCTTCAAAGCTAGCGCTGACAATCCTCTATACCAAACACATGGTTCAACATTTCCCAAATTTAACGTCTATAATATTTACCTTTATATCTAAGCTACACAAACCATCCAACCGCGTTGAAGTGAGAAAGCACCAGTACAAAGGCTGCGCGTGTAAACACACTTTACCTGTTCGCAAGTCTGCGGTGAGAACAGTTAAACACACGTCCACACACGCTCTGCATTTCTAGCCGTCTCTTTTTAGCCTCCACCAGAGCAAACTCCGTGGAGGCCGGATTGCCCCCAAAATCCCCACCTCTATCCTCCCTTCAAGAAAGCAAGCATTTTTCTTCATTACCTTTTTTAACAGACCCCTTTTTTGTGCCATTAGTAGGGGAAGGTTTCCAAGATCCTGGCAGAAAAACAGTGCTTCTAACAAAGTTTTTCAACAAAATCAGGGCGATTCTACAGAGATAGGATTAAAGGTCTCTGGCTCATGGCCAGCTGTCCAGTACTACCACCACACCCCATGGGGCAATAGCTGCAGGATGACATTAAGCAGGAGACGCTGGCGTTCAGGGTGTTCCTCGAGGACACCGGGCCAACAGCAAGACAACCGTTGCAGTGAGCAACTTACAGTACATTAGTTCAGGCTGCAAAGCCCACGTGGCCAAACGGTTACTGACTGGGATCTGGCTCGTGTCCGTCAGCGCATCAGTCAAGCGTTGACAGCCCACACTGCAGACCCACCCTCATACGCTTAAAGAAAGCACTACAATGACTGCAGATAGCTAGACAGATACCAAAGCTTAAAATAAACAGGCTGTTTTCTTTGATGGTCTCCTTCCACCTCAGCGTGATGACTGGAGAAATCTGGCAGGGCGACATGAGCTAGCAGCCATGAAGAGACCTGCCTGGTTCAGGAACAGACAGGCTTCCCAAGGCTCAGAGGGAACGAGGGACACAGCAACAGCACGTGACCCACTGTAAGCACAGTTCTCATTAGCGGGAATATCTGGGCTAACCTGAGTCTACCTAAACTTGAGGAGACTCGTGTGAGAGAACTTCAGGAGTTTCACCCCAAAATGAGCAGGGGTGCTAATGCCGCCCCTGCTAAGGGGACCTGAGCAGCACGGAGTATCCCGGCATGGGCCTGGCCAGCTCCGGGAACAGGACAAGCCGCAGACTTTCCTAAGCAAGGTGAGGAAACAGCAATTCCCCAGCCCAGTTTTAATCTTGATTTTGTCTGATCTGAGTCTTGCTTTGTAATAGGCGTTTTAATGCTACTTTATTTTGATAAAAGAAAGCCTTGACGTTGTTACACCAGCGCTGCAATACCCCTCATGTCCTGCTTTTTCCCAGTGCTTCTGAACACATACAATTCATTTGCAATCTGATTTTCTTAACTTGGAAATAGGCAGCTGACTACTATTGTTATTAGAAGAATAGAAGAAACTCAGGGAATAAACAGAGTTATTGATCCAACTGCATTACATGAGAAAATACATTCACGAGTGGAGGCTGAAGCCAAGTATCAGTAAATTTATGCAAATAAACTGCATTACATATTGAAAAGATATATTCGGAAGGCTGTATGCATCAGAGAAGCACCAGGACATGCAGATGACCACCAAAGATGCTTTTGAGGACTTTTAAGAACTTAAATAACCACAGCTTCTATGAACTTCCTAACTAACAGCTTCTCTATTAAAGCTATCCCAAGTCTTGACAGGGCTGCACTGCTAAACTCACTGTTTGTCCGTATGGAGATCAAACTCCAAAGAGAGGTAGACTGCCAGCTGCTGCTTTTGAAGGTTTGCCAAGTACAACTATCTTTGTGAGCACTCGATTATTGCGTTTAAGTGACCACCACCTTTCCATCTCTGCTCCCTTCCCACTCATCATGAGCTGAATTCAACTGCAGCAGGATTTCCCCTGGCTTGCCCTGCGCTGAGATATCCTTTCAAATGTTCTGGGCCAACAGCATTTATTAAAATACCCTCCACAGCAAGGCCGATTCTCGATGGAAGGACTGTTTCTTATTAAGGTGGCAATGCAAGCAGGAAAGAAAACAAAGCTCCATCACATGCAGTAATGTGTTTGCAGGTGTTCTGGGGCCTGCAGCTTTTTTTTTTCTTCTTTCTTTTTTAAGCATCATCACGGATTGCTAAAACCTCGGTGGTTCTTTAGCGCTTTGAAGCTGTCGCTGCTGATGGTTTCTCAAGAAAAGCAGCACATCAGGATTACTCTTCAGTGGCAGAGTTTCATTTCGCCTGTCAAGGGCAGTGTTGAATGGGGGAAGTCTAATTAAAGATTAAGCCATCAGCAGTGCCTCAATGGGAATGGGCTCATCCAAATCCAAAAGATCGTAGGTCTAGGAACGCTCACCACAGAGACGCCTAGAGGAACAGGGCACAGAGTACCAGTACCTGACCTAGACTCCCCAGGCATTTTTTAGAAGGGCAACTAGTCACAGAGCCAGAAATCGAGGGGAGAAAGCACATTAGTACAAAATTCCTGCAGAGTGCAGAGCCTTCCCTCCTGGGTGAGAAAGCAGGAGCTTACTAGACAGAACAGGCAGCCAGAATCCCCTGTCTCCAGCGCTTTTTCCAGTAGATAGCAAGTATTTAATATAAAATAGGACACTTTCAACACAAGAGACACTGACCTGCCCCGAATATTTACAGCCTATGGGTTAGGGCTGGAAGAAGAAAGTCCTGGGTTCAGACCCGTGCTCCAAAAGAGGTGGGGGAAGAATCTGGAACCACGATCTCTCATACAAGGAAGGCATTTTTGGTCTCCTCACCCTCACAGTCCCATGCACGCAGTCTGGCATACTGTGGGAACACCTACCAGACCAGCCTACCTAACCTGGAAGGTGGAGAAACATTTAATTTTAGAGTCTAGCAAAGGGTTAAACACAAGCCAGGAGTCTTGATTCCACTGTGCTAAGATTCTGATAGCTGCACTTAACGCCCTCAGAACAAACCTTGACAGATGCTGGCAGAGAGGGGAAAAGGATGCTTCAAGGTATCATAAATACCTTGATACTGGAAATCGTTACCTCAAGTTATAACTAGTCATCAAAGCCTCTTCACTGTTCCGTGAGCCAAATATCTTCTTTATCTTAACAGTTTGACCATTTTTCACTAAAAGAGGGAAGAAGCACCTACTAAACTCTCCATTAGACTTTTCCAGTGGCCAGAATTCTTAGCCTTTAGAGAAACTTCTTGAAACAAAAGCTAACATTATCAATTTTTGCTATCATTATCTACTTTTCTCAACAAAAATGACTGGCCTTTAGTCAGCTAAATCAAGCTACAGTGTCAGGTGTAAGTAACAAATCATAACAAAACATACCACAATGATTTCAGTGCAAAACTGTACTGATAATCAACAGGTTTTTACAGTAAATTTCAAAGAGCAGATCGCAAAAGGTATTCCTCTACCACTACTGTGAAAGCATTTTGCCCACTTACTTTCATTTTTGCACCACAACACAGGAGGACATGCATACAGTTCTCATACTCGGCTTTGGGACAATACTACTGAGGAACATACAAGTATTACTGGATGTTTTCCTCAAGCTTTAAGCCAGTTGCTTTGGCAACAGAGAAGAGGTTCGTTATTAAATTTACATTGAGAATATATAAGTGATCTTGATTTTAATAACTGTGAAAATTATTTATCAATTGTTCCTTAGGAAGTCCTCAAGATGAGGTGACACTAAGCCAGCTGCTACCACTCTTCCTCACTTTTCCGATATAATATTAGCATAAACCAGAATTTACTTCTTTACAGAAGCGTTTGAGAATTACGGCAATATTCCTATTACCACCAGCACTACTTCAACAGAAGGCTAAAAGGATACTGGAAAATACACAATTTTTGATTCCTCTGAACAATGTAAATTCTATTCAAACAGCCTGAATGAATTAAATGTTTGTTTGTTTGTTTGTTTTAATTTGTCTCAGCCTACTAGATACAAAGGAATTCCTGATAATCCTAAATTGTTTCAATTGTCTTAAATTTGTTTCTCAAGTTTCAAGAGAAGTACCAACAAAAGTCCATAAACACAGGCTGAAATATTTAAAACTGCATTGTCTGGATGTGCCAAAGACCTAAATAAAGAAATGCAGCTGCAGCCAAAACCTAAAAGCATTTCTAGGAAACAAGTCCTCCCATAGGTTACAGGAACTTAGCATGTCCCCAGTGCATGGGTACTGGTGGATTTTAGGCCAATTTAAATCTTTATGGGCTGCTGGCAAGCCTTTTAGCCACAAGAAGTAATAAAATCCATTCAGATTATAGTTACTAGAAGCAGCTAAAAAAGAGGATTTTTTTAGCTGGAAGTCACTGAACATCATACATAGTCTGAATCTGCTACTACAGACTGACCTGCTCATTGCTGTAAAACTTAGTTTCTCCATATTCTCCTTATGAAAAAGTACATGATTTCATAATTATTAAAAAGTATCTGTATTTTTTTATTGCTTTTCTATTTAGTGTTACTCTTCCGCAGAGCTGTACCCATTAGAAAATGTAATTTGTTTCATTATGCTGACTCAAATCTTTTCTTGGAGGAGACCGCCTGTTCCTATAGCATTGTTTCTTTGAAAAAATGACTTTTTACTACCACTGAGTTTTTAATTAAAGTTCTTGAACAGAAATACAGACTTCAGTCTGTATTCAAAGTTCTTAATTGTGAAGGGGAATTTGTATGTCTTTTTAAAAAAGGAGTAAGATATACATTAAGAAGTTGACACCCTGAAATATTTCACATATTTTATAAGCCACGTGGTACCGTTCTTACAGATACACCGAAAGTAAATCACACCCTCAACTCTCTAATATATCATTCTGCAAGTCATGTGAACTGCAAGAAGTCCTGTGATGATTTTAAGTAACGCCTAATACAAAGCAAACTAATACGATGAACATCTGGTACAACTTCCCTGTGCGCTGTCAGCAATAGTTCTTATGCAATTAAGAAATAGATACCAGCTAGAGTTCTCCTTTCAGTCATCGAAATTCCTTTGTTTGCCTTCTAAGCTAGGCATGCATAGTGCGAAACGCAGAGGAAAAAAAAAAAAAGCTCACTTTACAGGAGCCCTGGCATAGACCTGCAGCCAGTCTGGAATCTCTGCAGTGTGGTAGGGGTTTGCAGGGACGAGGAGAGGCTGGCTTCTCTCAGCTTGCTGCGGCTGGTAAGTCACTGGGGGAGGCTGGTCATAACGGGGAACGCTGTACAAAGGAAGACAGACAAAGTCCGTAACCTCCAAGCAATAACTTAGACATACTGATATCATTAAACTGTTAACATTAATACACAAGTTAATACATGCAAAGGCCAATGATGCAACCACATACGGAGTGTTGCCTCAGCAGGGCTATACTGAGAGCAACTTTCTGTTGCTATTTTTGTGCTTCACTGCAATCACAACTCTAAGCGTTGCCCACTAACATCTGTTAGCCCACTAAAATTCAGCTTAGGTCTACTCACCTAGTGCCTGCTACCTGGATACTAAAGCAGAACAAAACACAGTATCTGTTTTTAAAAGATTAAAAAGGCAAGTATCCATTCAGCCAAGTAATCCTCCATTTAATATGTTAGATCAAATGTATTCAGGCAGCAGCTGGTAAGAGTTACTCCATTTATAACAAAGGACATCCTCATATGTTTATCTTTTGTGCCACATATTAAAAAACTTTCTCTTCCTGGGTAACAGGAAAATACACTGAGTAGCAGAAATTAACTGGTAGATTTGGTGCATACTAACTTTATTTTACCTTTAATTTATGAGTAGCTAAAATACCGATTTTCATTCTAGAGAAGACTTAATTCATACTTCAGATGGTATGTGCTATTTGTCCAGACAGTCTCCTGGAACATCAGATCAAGTTTCTTCTCAGTCTACAATTCAATTCTGTTCTCAGCAACTTTGTTCCTTTACCGACAGTTGAAGAGAATAGCTGCTTTGTTTTAGTGAGTTAGGAACAATATCCTGTTTCTAAACTTAAGACAGTAACAGACGAGGAAAAAACCTAACAATTACAACTTCTTCTAAAAATCTTAGCCAAGAACCAGTAAAGCTTACTTCTAAAAATAAGGGAAGTTTTTGGCACATATATGAGACAAAAACAGTTCCACTTTCTTAGCTGGATTAGGAAAAAAACAGACGAGAAGGCAGATGTCTTACCTGGGAGCACAAGGATGTTTATATTGAGCTCTTTTATTGATGTGATCTACATAATACACTCCAAATTCTGCCGACTCAACTCTCTCCCATCCCGGAGGCAGCCCCTCACGCTCGAGTGGATGGCTCCAGTGAGTTGTATTAGTGTTATGATCTATATAGTATTTCCTTCCTCTAATAGTCCAGTCCACTGACCAGCCAGGAGGAAGAGGTAAATCTTCAGAACTATGATTTGTTAAGTTTCCTAGAGATGTAGCAGCAACTCTACCGATGCCTAAAAAAAAGGGAAAGCAATGTTTAGCTAAACTGGTAATACCCCAAACCAACATGATGTACGAAGTCAACTTCCCCCCCCTACCCGAGGCACTCTACGAACTTTGAACAATACCATGGCGTTTATGGTGTATGCATTTGTACGTTAGTAAAAAAGCACAATCAAGTCAAAATAGCTATTCCCTTTTAAGTCCCACTTGTTTCACTCTCCTCCAACTCCAGGTTCACTAGACAGCTTCATTCAGAGACAGTTAAAGCATCCTTGCTTTTTCGATGAGACATGTATTAGCGTACATAACAGGGGTGAAGCTGTTATTGTCTCAATTTGCTGAGCAGAGAGAGCCGACATAAGATTACACATGTTAAAGCTTTACATAAATGACAGTTTCTGTTAATATGCTATTACAGCTGCATCAAAACTATTTATCTACCAAAAAACCACAGCTATTTCTTTTTCTAGTTACAGTCAGAGATTACAACTATCTAGAAAAATCACTGAATACCAACAAAGCTTTTCAGATTAACCAGTCAAGAACAGTAAACAGGACCAGGTAAACCAAGAGAGGAGGGACAAGTAAGGTTAGCACTATACTGCGCTGACCGTTATTACTGAAGTGCGTGCAATCACAGCCAAAAAGTGTTGTCAGTAACAAGAGAAAACAGAAAAGCTGGATCCACACCGGATCCTGCGCAAGCCCTTTGCTGAACACAGTACAGTCATCCTGCGCGCACGCTGAAGTTGATGTTGCCACGTCTTCTTTGCTAAAACTACCCACGCTTGTTAGACTAGCTGGTTTATGTGCACCGCTGGGTGGGACAGCCAGGCCTTCCGAATGCAATCCAGACAAGATTTAGAGACCTTTTGTTCAGAGCGAGTCACAAAATTCCTCATCTCTTCTCTGCATATCCCCCTCCACCCGCTTCCTCCCTCCCACAGATCTTGGAAGGCAGTTTCGTTGTCTAGTAGGCTGTACATCTGCTTCTTCTCTAAAACCGAGCACCTACGCTTCATAATGCTGAAGAGGCACATGAAAAAAAGAGTAATTTCCAGCTTTTCTCGGTGATGTGGGCTGCACTAGGAGAAGGGCTTCTCCAGCAAGAGAACTAAAGCCTAGGTTAGGTGTATTGGCAGTAGGAGAACTGACAGGAATCAGTAGTTGATTAAGTTCCCACCTCTGCCCTAGAAACACAGCACATTTAGGGTTTATCACTAAATAGCTGGTTTAAAAGAATGTTCACTAGCATTTTAAAATACACCATTTGTTGTAACATACACACAGCTTTTACATTTTAAAAATTAGCGTGCTGGATGCTGAGAGATGTACTGAAGAAACGTAATTCCAATTTCATCTTTTCCTTCCCTCTATATACTATGGATACTTAGTAAGCTAGCTGAAATAAAAGCCATAATAACTACAGAAAACAAAAAAAACCAAACCCAAAACCACCCCACCCAACCCCCCAAACCCCAACCAAATGACATAATCAAGAATTTTGCAGGTCTCTTTCCATTCCTTGGAAGCCTAGTACCTACCGGACGTGCTGGCCCAAATGCAACTCTCTTTTTTAAATCCTTTTAAGTAGTTACCTTCAGTTACCCACAGTTCTACAGTTAAACAGTCTCTGGCTTTAAAGAAATTCCAGTTATCTTTTCATCCCACAATCAAATGCATCTATTCAATCACAGTATTCATCAGAGTTTGTGTGTTACTATCTCCCATAGCCAGAAGAAGGGGCATAGGAGCCACTTTTTCCACTTTCTTAGAAGTCAGAAAGTGACTCCATCACAAGCACCACGTTTACTGAGGAATATGCCCCTTTCCTTCTGTTTTTCAGAAATAACATTTTTGTGTGGTTCTTTTTTCAGAGAGTGGAAGGGAAAGGCAGAGTCTCTCTCATCTAAAGCATACTATTAAAAAGACGTTTCATGTGCGGTCCTTAGCTCAGACAACAGTAATACTGAAGCAGCAGCAAAATTGTTGTATTTCTCAGGCAATTTCATACTCTTGTTTGCCAACAAAGGCAAAGGTCCTTTTCAACCATACATACACAATATAGCATGCTAGCCAAGGGACGTCATCTATTTTAAGCATTAGTTTACCTATAAAATGACATAGACTGAAAACTGGATGGGCTCTCACATTCTAATACAAGACAGCAGTCATCAACAATGAAGTAATGGGAAGGCTCCAAAGCAACTGAATAAATAAAAAATAAATTTTAAAAAAATCTCACAAACTTCCCCGAGTACTGTTCTTTAAAACATTTGTGCTCATCTACAAATCTTTTTCTAGCCTTATCACGTTCTGAACTATTTGGCCTTAAAGTATTTCTTCTTGTTATAGTACTTACCTATTTGTTAGCTTTATAAAGGAAAGTTGATGGCTGTGTCCACGTGATAGCTCCCACCTCTCATTAGGGTTAAGCAACCTAGACCTTTACTTCCAGTGAGAAGAAATATCCTAGAGGCTTCCTGACCTTTAGCAGTACTGGGGCAGGGAAACTATTTCAGACCCTAGCTACAGTTATGTCACTGGTTTTGTTTTCATTCCAATGACAAAACACAAACATGTAAGCTTCTTGAAAATACTGCACTTTGGATAAACAAATTCAGTATTTTCTCCAATTAACTGGACCCCTGTGTTGTAATTTCATGTACGTATAAACAGTGACTATTAAACCACCACTACCAGAAGAGCTGAACACACAAACTTGACTGGGGGAAAAGAACTTTCACAAAGGCATAAACAGAAAAATACTTTCTGTTTACTGTTAAAACAGGACATGTCAGTATTTTTGTTACAATTCTTCCTACTTAAATTCTAGCATAATTCCAGCAGCAAACACATATATATTTATTCCTTGGGGTAAAGGTTAATTCTTTCTAACATTTGGAAGTTGCACAAGCCATCCTCTGCACCAGAAGTTCTCTTGACACAATGCCTAAGTCTCCTCATGCGAAAGCCAGAGAAGACTGGGAGATGGACTCAGGTAGAAAGGAAAACCAAAATCTGATTACATAGAGAAATCACATGGAAAGCAGGCTAAAAAGCAACGCTGCACCCAATGGAAAGGCAACGCTGGCAGTTCTGTGTTTGCACAATCATTTAATTCTAGCTACATGGTTTCTCCTGATGCCAGCTTATTTTTTTTTAATTTCCAAGAGGTAAAGAACAAAAATAATACCAGACCACAAATACATTATACATTCCTTTTGGCATTTTGACTTCATATATGAAGAAGCAGAGCCATACCATTAAGGTAAACTTACATAGCTGTAGCAGTCACCAGTTTTGAACAGTGTTCCAAGCCTCTACAACCAGCAAGCTCTAATTATGAAATCAAAGGCCAGATTTATAAACAGACGGTTGCAAATACTTCAGGTTGTAGACTATCATGTCTAGTCTTAATGTGCATTTTCCCCCTTAAAATCACAGATCATATTGGAATATTCTGTGTGCTGGAAGTTTTAAGATGTCAGGTAATATTCATAGTGTCTTATAACCATCAACCCCCTACGGCATTCGAACTGGCAATTAGCACAATTTAGACATTTGTTTATATAACTGGAGTTACTAGAGATCAAGAGGAATTGTGTATTGGTTTTCCTTATAAAACTCAGCAGGTGCTTCCTTCAAGGGAGAGCGGATACACACGTAAGAGTGTAGCTCCTGCTATGATTTTGAACAGTAAGAGAAGATGAAAATTGACTTTCATATATATACACCTGTAAGTATCAGTAATAAGACTGAACAAGAGTTCGAAAAGTAAATTCATATGTGATCTTTTCCAAAGTATAAACCAAAGAAGAAAGTTACAAGGTAGCCTAAAACCATCCACTGTGAACACTACCTTTTCTGTGTCATATTGCCCAAGCATGATACTCTCCTGTGTTGAAATTTCAGGTAAGGTCTTAGCCCTACAGTGTTTGCATAGCAGCCCAAAGCTTCACATATGATTTTACCACACACACCAAGGACATTCCCTGAGTCATGGGCTGGTACCAGACTCACATAGCGCAATGCAAAATATCTACAGAAAAACCCCCAAACTTACAACTTGAACCATTTTTACCAAAACATCTAGCGTAAAACCTATGATTTCCTCTTGATGCAGGATATGATCTCTACCATAGGATAAGCAAAAACAGACCAGTCGAACCACTTCACTGTAACTACTCCGGATTTTCTTGCTCACGTACTGTTTTATCTATGACAAGACAGAATTCTCATTCTTCCTGCTTTCCCAAGGAACAGAGTTCTTTAAATTATCTTTTTCCAAATGTTAAAAGTCTCCTTTCCTCTGCTTAAGTATGAGCACTGTTCTTTATAAACTCCCCTGAGTGGCACTATCAAATCTCAAGAATGGTCAACAATGAATTCAAATTTATGCAACTGTAAATCCTTTTCAGGTTGCCTCTTTGGAACTCATCTAGCCTCATTTGTTAATTCTGTTTCCTAACGGTATAGGTTTGGGGTATTTTTTGGTTTGGCTGTTGCTTTTAAGGAACATCAATATTGAACGCTATTTGTGACTTTGCTTTTTCCTTCTCTTGTACAATATAGTATCTTCAGTTTAAGGTCTCGAATTAACTGTCAGCCAGGCCAAGAGACATTATATGCTGTTCCAAAGCAAAAGAAAATCCTGTTCAGTGCAGTTTGCTCGCTCAGGAGTATCACTGTCTATGTTCTCAACACTTCGAAAAAAGAAAGTGCAAAGGAACAGCAACCACTTATTACTAGTATTAACAAGATTTAAAATACTCAGAGTTTTAAGTAAGGCCAGGCCCTATATTCAGTCTTATTCTCAACATCTTCAACAACAGGGTGTCCTAATACCAGAACCCAAACTTTAACTTTGAGCACCACATTGCAGTGCATTGTATCAGTGCAAAGAGTTCCTTCATTTAATATTCTTCTCTTAAAAACATATCTTAAGCTAACGTCACAAATGTGAAAAACACGTAGTACCTTCTTCAATCAAGGAAGTTCTGTTTGGTTTGTTCCATTAGTATGGAACAAAGAAAACCGTAAGTGATATGCATTAATGCTTTCACAGCCCAATGAAGGGGTTTTATTGTAAAGGCACTCTGCCTGGAAAGAAGTCCAGGTTCTTAGGCGGAAACGTTTCCAGGTCAGCAGAGGGCACTTCTTCAGTCTGCCTGGTAGAAAGCATAGGAGAAAAATCCTATCACCAGAGCAGCCCAGCATAAAGGGAAAAGAGCAAAAACACTGAAGAGAAAGTCTCACTTTGTGTATTAGATACAGTGCTGAATGTAGGCAGAGAAGTTTCAGAGCCTATGAACTCCCCACAACTAGCTTCAACCAAATGTCAAAGTGTTGAAGAACAAATCTAGCCAAACAAAAGGCCTTCATATTTGTCTTTAATTAGGTCAATTGTCTTGAGAGACTTTTTTCAGGATGCCAAAATCCTCTCCCTTCCCTTCATCAAACCAGGATGAAGAACAGGAAGAGAAGATGAATGAACTGTTTAATTTTAAGGGAGCAAGTAATAATAAAATAGCAAAAAGAAGTTCCAATAACTATCCTGTTTAGATAGGTCTGCGGGTTCTAGGCCTTCCTAACCCATTCCAAAGCATCTGAAGGTACTTCCTGAGCACAAGTACCTCGTTTGTCAGAGGGAACGGGGCGTTCCAAGTAAGCATAAATTCACAAATAGGAAAAGACAGGAAGTACTTTGAAAGCTTCAGAAAGTATGCTGCAAAGAAATTACTGCAAAATCAGCACAAAAGAAGAAAAGGGCAGGAATTGCCATTTGTTTAAAAATGAGTGAAGTGTACACACCTAAAAAGAAAAGCTCTGCTACTTTAGCTCTAAATAGGTTTCATTTAATAATTTGTATTTCTTTATTTTGCTCTTATATTAAACACAAATACCAGTTTGCAATTTTTAAGGGGTACAATTTAACACCAGATGAACCTACTTTCACTAAAGCACACTGGCTTCTCTGTTCGCAGGATTAATCGTTTTTCTCCTCTGACATCACAGTCAACCGTTTACAATCCACCATCAGAAAGTCCCTTTACACTGTGATTTTAATCTCAGCAATTTTCACATACACAAGAATTTTTTAGCTTACCGCTCAAACAGGTACAAATAACTCTGAGGTCTTGGTTACAAGTTAGTTCCAATCTATACTGTAGATATAACTTCAACCACAGACCTCCCCAAACCTTTAACCTAGAAGAAAGGAAAGAGATGTCGAGGAAAGACAGGTAAAGTCTCTTAGAATTAAGTTTGAAATGGACATGAAAAAAAATTTTCAAGAAATGCCACAGAGGTACTAAACATACAAAACTAGGAAATATCTCAACTGAAGACATTTTTCAGGAAAACCAGCAGCACTAGATTGCTAATTAAAAACTTTTGCAAACAAAACAAAAACATTAGCAAACAAAATTTGCTAATGAAAATAAGAAAAGGAGGACATGGTAGAATTGAATCATACTGAGACAGAAAACATGACTTCAGGGAGAAATGCCTATGAAAGAACGTATCAACGCTGTCAACATCAACTGTTGAAAAATCATGGGACTTTCTTAAATACTTTGCTGAGTACTTTGAATATGAAGATCTCAATAGGAACATGTTTTCAACTTATCTCCAAATTATAAAGAGGAGAATCTTTATTTTGAGTGAAAGCTGAAATTCACATGCACCTCTTCACTTCCAGACCACCGCTTCTCAAAAGTCATCTCAGTTGTAACCAACACTGAATGAAACATCACCCAGCAATAGCAAGTATACCTTGTGTTCATCAGGCACCATTTCTGTAGCAATCAGTCCAAACCATAACAGAACCAACTGAGGGGACCTTCTGAGGGAGGGTGGGAGAGGAGGAAAAGAGTAGAAGGCAGCATTTACTGATTCTAGCTAATAAACAGACTTATACGTCGAAACTGTAGGTATTAGGCAATTTTGGCATCAATTATCTCAATGAAGAATTTTTATTAGGTGAAACATTTAGAAACAACAATGGAGATGTGTAAGGAAAAAGTAATTTAGACAAAGACAATGGAAGTAAAAGGCCTGCCTCAGTATTCTGGAAATGTGGGAAAAAGAGGAACTAGAAATTACAGAAAGATCAGTGTAGCTAAAGGAAAACACTGAAGGTTTGAAGACAACAGATGGTTCAAATAAAAAGCAGCTTAATGGTGAGATGAAAGAAGTTAGAAAATCCAAGGTTTTCTTATTTTTGGCCTCATAATTCTTTTACTGATAAAAAGTAACAGCAGTTCTTGAAAAGATGTACAGAAGTTAAGGACACAGGTCAATATTCTTACTGCAGTGAAACCGAAAGAGGAATTTAAGAGTTCATATTCCATGAGGAGATGAAAGAAAAAAATAGAGGAAAAGGGAAACACTTTGGCAGATAAAAGGGCTCACCTTTTTTTGTCTCTCCCTACAAATACCTAAGACTGAACACTCGTCCGTTACAAAATATGTGTAGAATTTGTTCAGACTATTAAATGTAAAAATATGAGTGAATGATGAAGACCAACCAACTATCAGCAGCTCCTTTATGATTTCCAGTGGCTAAGGGGCCATGTAGACTAATGGGGGAAAAAGTCTTTTTAGAAAGAAATCCATGTTGCTACAATTGAGAAAAATATGGCTGTAAAGCCCTGCTTCTAGCTGGTTTTAAAATATTTGCTAGATTGAACTCCGCTTTCAAACTAATAGCTAGAGCTCCATTTCCACCTATCATTGTTTCAAGTCTACACAGCAGCAGTACCATTTTTTTGAAGTTTTCCTCAGCATACACAGTTACTGTAGTAATTCTGAATGTTAAGTTGATGGATTGGTTCATGAAATCCTCCCCTCCTGCCTCTCCTCCCTACAATATCCCAGCACACACTGACAGGTGCTTGTTATCTGGACCAGGAAAATGTTTCATGACTGCCGGCTGAACAACAACCGACAGAGATGGAGGGCTTCCATGCAAAATCTAGGTAGATCAGATGTATTAGCATTCAGCAAAATAAACGAGGATAAAGTAGCAAGTCTTAAACCTTAGTATTTCAGAATTTACTGGCTGACAGCAGTAACACTAGCATTACTCTTCTGTCACTTTTCATTGAAGTGTTTCTGTAGTAAAAAAACCCACAAAGCATTGACAGGTTATAATTTCATACACAACATCAGCAGCAGCCTTAAATGCTGACGTTCTTCCTAGCAGATTTATTTTTCCAGACAGAAGATTTATTTTACTAGAGACTATTTACTATTTTGTTTACAGATTACAAGTAATGACGAACTAACAACGTATTTCATATTGAAGGTACATTACTTACAGGTTTGAAATGTTTGTTTCAAACTCCTCTTTGAACATAATTTCCGTAGTATATACAGCCAAATCTACTACTTTTAAGGTCACCTTTCTATGGGCAATATTGTAATCCCAAACTTTTTATTCCACCAATAGATTCACAACAGCACACTGCACCAAAGAATTATTCTTCAGTGTCATCACAGATATAATAAAATATTTCAAAAAGTAGTATTTAATGGATTCTTCTTTCTTACACTGTTCTTCCATTAGAAAACAAAGACAAGTTCCAGCGAATTTGAGGGGGAAACAGGCATATTTACAAAGGATTTTACAAGCTAAAAGAAAAAAAAAAAAATCGAGGACTAGGAAGTCAATTTCAGCACTGACTATATGTCAGTGTGCTAATTAGACAAAGCAGTCATTCCTCCCTTTGACTATTTATAATAAATTATTTTAACTACCGAGGTCAAATAACACAATAAAATTAAATATTAACACAATGATAATTAAAATATAATAAAACAAAACTGCAATGCTATAATTTAGAGCTGTTGGTTATTCTCTACATCACAAAAATAGCAGATGTCCCCTAATGAGTAAAATTCCTTGCTAGTTAGCAACTGAATCAACTTTGTCAGGAGGAGTTGCATATGCTTGGCATTAAAAAAAACACTTGCTCAACCTTACCCCATTTATTTAATAAATAAATCGTGGTTTAAGTATATTTTTTCTTTTCTGGATATATGCAATCAAACTCTCAACTCTAAGAAATGTGAACACGCAGTGTACTCAGATCACAGAAACGTCATTAAAAAGCAGCTCTGTCCCACACAGCATAACTCTTAAACACATGCTCCTGATCATCCAGATATATCTCTGCACCTGAAGTCTTATCAAAAACACATTTTAAAAAAACAGCAATTAATCAATATTTACCTGAAGTGTGCCTCCCATGATTCTGTGACATCCTCTGGAAAAGATCGTTGTTGTGTTCATAATACCTGTAGTCCTCATGTACGCGATCATTTAACTGACGTCTCCTCTGGGCATCATAAAAATGATCGTAATAATAACAACGGGCACCAGCATCTCCATTTTCCAAAACAGAATTAGCTTCTGTTAAAAAGGACTGGGAGGAAGAGCCATATTCTCTAGGGACATCAGCTAAACTTCTTGCAAGATAGGAAGGCGCAGACAGTCTGTTGCTTTCACGTCTCATTATTTCATGAGGTGGCCTCTGCACTGGAGTTCGAAGGAAACTCTGGTTTCTGGAAACAACTCCATCTCCACCAGAAGCATATGCAGAAGAAGTTGAGTCAGGAGGACAGATATCAGTTCGTCTTGGAATGGTTGGACCATGACGGATAAATGAAGGCATCAGATCTTATATATAGCATGAAAGAGAAAAAAAGAACTTTGGCTGTACTTACACGTAAAGTATTTGGCTAGCCACAACGCTCATTTACACCACGGAACTGAGGAAATTGAAATGCTAGAACCCCTTTAAGGCACCTCTAGTGCATATGCAAGTGTAATGGTAATGCTGCAGTTTGTACTGGTGCAACAGAAACCATCACACCCTCCACCAGCAACAAACCATTGCCAAAACAGTGCAGTTCTGCCAGTATAACTGCATCCACAATAAACAAATAAAACCCCAAACCCAAACCCCATCAAAACACACACACAAAAAAAAAAAAAAACCCAAAACCACCCCACGCTGTACTGTGGCTACACCAGCCAGGCTTCATACCTCTCTACTAGAAGGGTCAAGAAAATCCAAGTATCCTGGCTACCACTCTACCACTTCATCGGGACCACTGCCTTTATGAACTCAGAATAACTGAAGACGTTAATGCCTACATGCTCACAGGAATCCATGACAGAATCAGAAACAGAATTCATACTTTCTCCAGTAATGACAAAGTTCAGCCAGCAAAATGCTGTTATTCTGCACACGTTAAGTTCTCAAATTATCATGATATTTCACTTTCTCCTTTACCTAAAGAGATTTTGCACATGAACAGTGACACCTATTAATAAAATTTCCCTGCCTCCCTCCAGTAAGCGATACATTACTCCTCTCCTTACTATTACTTTGAACATGATATAAGTAAGTAGCTTCCCTCCAGGTGAGCTAATAGCAACTATGACTTTCATTTAGGAGGAGGTTATGCCTATTATTAATTACTTTTTATTAATAAACTCTTATAACTTCGGGTAAAAATTCAGTGCATCCCAGAAGGTGTCATCAGTAAGTTTATAATTATTACAAAGCAGTCATGTAATAGCTAGTCATTACATCACGGCAAACAGCATGTGTAAAAGGTGTTAACCCCTCAGACATGCCTACAGCTTAATATGTGGGTTTCAGGGTTTGTTTTTTTTTTTTTAAAGACTAAGTCAATATAATCAGACTACTAAATGATTTTGCCTGTTGGCTGGGGAACCAGCTGTTCATGCAGCAAATACTTCCAGAAAAGCTGAGTGCCTGCTCCTGCCAGCAAACCAGTTGTTGCTAGTTGTGATCTCCAAGCTAATCCTGCAATTATAGCATAATACATTTCAGTCTCGGGTTGTTTTCAAAGATTAACAAAAAGAAACTGAAGTGCACTTTCAATGCGTATTTGCCAGTCTTCTGTAAAGTCCCAGCAAAAACAGGACTGTGGCATTAGCATCAGGTTAACCACACGAAGATCAGTGCGTCCAAGGTACATAGCGGTGACCTCATCAAGTTGATTCATGGTTTAGAACTGGAGCACTTGCTTCCGCAGGGATTTTATGCAACCGTCTCGTACAGTTATCTCATTTTCCAAGCACACACCTTCTGGCAGTGCACACAGCCTAGATCGGGAAAGCCACCACTGACTTCTGGACAGAGAGAGATGATCTGTTCTTTTCACCTGACAGGTACCTGTTTGGAGACCATCTTAACCCCTACCTGTTGAAAACTGAGCAACGGCGGCTGAGAAAATAAAAAAACCCCAACCAAGTTTGTTTATCGCGAGCACCTGGTGGTACACTACGTGTAAGGCTCCCTTTTAAATTCAGCTTCCCTTTCAGGTCTAACCTCCCTCCCTCCCTCGGCTCCCAGGTCTCACAACGGGAATGTCGTCGTCCCCCCCCCTCCCCTCATGAGGGGAACCCC